CAATCTTGTCCCTTAAATTTCAAATGGGTAGTTGTAAAAGTGACATAGAGTTCCAAAAAAAAAAAAACGAACTTCCAAGCCATCTAATTTGACATCCAATGAATGGAAATAATTGGGAACTCCACATACAAAAGATAAAAAAAAAAGTTTATATAAGGTTCCAATCTTAAAATGTAGAATTATATCGCACCATAAAAAGGAAAACTGTTTCATGCTGGCCGGATAGTCCAAAATGTGTAAGTGGTCCACAAAGTTTAAAGCATTCATCTGAAAGATAGATGCAAGTAGGTGTTCCATCTAAAAACAATAGAAGCTAACGGTCCAAATGTTAACTTACTGGAATTATTACTTCTAGATTTTTAAAATTTATTTATTTTTTCATATTCATGATCTCCATGTCAGAGATTATATGTCCTTAAAAATTAAGTCTTAAAATCCCTCTTAAAAATAGATTTATTAAGAAACCCGTATTTCTACATATGTGCGGTTATCCGCATAGAAACCGTGTCCCCCTAAAAATCCATGGTTCTTTTGATGTTGGAAAACCCTGTAATTCATCATCTTGATATCAAAATGTATGAATATGAAAAGAAAAATAGATTTCAAGTCCAAAAATAATGTATCTTGCAACACATTTTTTGACCATCTATTTTCAAGATTTTCATGTGTTTATAGACATACTTGATTTGGACCATATTTTAATTTAAAATTTTATAATTATAGATGAAAATAGATTCTCAAGCTATCCTAAGATTTCTTTGACACCAAAATTACATTTATAATAAAATTCATAGGTGCGCCCTAAATTTATCGTTTAAGGTTGCATCAATCCCAAGTAACTATGCCTATTCAGAGCTTTCCACACCCACTGGGTGAAATTTACGAACATTTTAAATAAAATTTTTTAGAGGTATGCAAGAGGGGATAGTGAGAATGCTGTGCATGTGGAGATGACCTAGTTATTGATTTTCTTAGATGAGCTAGTTAATGATTTTCTTAGTTGCTTTGACCATTTCAATAATATTTTTTCTTAAATAAAAATATCAATACGAACTAGGTAAAACCTCCCCAAAAATTTTCCTCCAATTAGAAATTTTCCTCCTTCGATTGGGACCACAAATTATTGTGTTTTGGTAATATTCAGTGTTCGCAAAATCGAATCAGAAACTGGACATTAGCCTGGAAGCAGTTTAACTGGCCGATTCAACCACTCTAACCATGCAAGTTCTAGATGGTCAAAAAAGTGATGAAAAATAAAATAAAAAACAAAAAAAAAACTATTAAAATATGAAAAACATATAAAGAATGATTAAAACAAAACACATTCAAATGAAGCTTAAAATTAATGAAAAAAATGAATTTTAACCGATTTTATATTTTCCAAGCTATTTTTAATTTTTTTTTTTGAAAAAAATCAGAAAATATAAAAGTGAGTATTAATGACCAAAATAATTTGTAATCTTTACGATAATGTAAATACCGATTGATTACCCTAACCGCCCAAAATCGAAAACCGGCCGATGGCCGTTTATGATCTATCCAAAGATTAGCCGTTAGATCGAGCGATTTTGCCATCAATAGTAATATGTCCCTTTTAATCTCACAAGTGAAAAATGTAAGTCATAAATACAAATGCCAAAAAGTTTGGAAGGCGCCCAAACCCATAAAACACAAACGTACAAATCAGCGTTTTAAAAAACGCCGAGTCGAACCGGGCTTTGACTCGAAATTCGCGAAAAGGACCGGATCGGTTGAAAAATCGGAAATCGTCCGGTTCTAGAGAGAACCGGACGATTCCGCACAGTGACTCGCCGATTCACTGTACAGAATCAGCGAGTCCATACGGGTTTTTTTTTTTTTTTTTTTTTAAATTATGATAGATTTTTTTGTAATACTTGATCGAATTTTTTGTAATCCTTGATCGAATTGTTTTTGTTTTTTTGTAATCCATGATCGCATTTTTTGGTTTTTGTAACCCATAATAGAATTTTTTGTAATCCATGATCGAAAAGTTTGTTTTCTTTTCTTGTAATCCATGATCGCTTTTTTTGCTTTTTTTTGTAACCCATGATAGAATTTTTTGTAATCCATGATCGAATGTTTTGTAATACATGATCGAAATGTTTGTTTGTTTTTTGTAATCCATGATCGAAATGTTTGTTTTTTTTTTTGTAATCAATGATTGAATTTTTTGTTTTTTGCTTTTTTTGTAACCCATGATAGAGTTTTTTGTAATCCATGATTGAATTTTTTATAATCC